ATATATATATATATATATATATATATATATATATATATATATATATATATATATATATATATATATATATAACAGTTCTATCGGCAGACGGCGGACTATTGTGTCTGCAATGTCAAACGTTGCACCTTTCGGCAGTCTATCCACACACAAAAAGAACAAGTAGAAGAAAAGTTCGATTAATGCTGGTGGCACGAAGATCTTCTTCGGAGTTAAGACCAAAAGCTTCCCATGGCTCATTCACTCCAGTTCTTTGGTAAAATCTACATTATCAACAAAAACCTGCAAGATTGCAGCAATATAATCAAATGGTTAAACCATAATGTCCATAGTATTTCCCATATGAAATTATGTGGATGTCGTAGGTTGTTTCTAAACGACACTCGGCTCAAGAAAAGATAAGGGTGGTAGAATTGTGTTACCTAGTTTTTTTTTGTGGAACACGACAACATACCGAGTCAAATCCCACAAAGTGGTATCTTGGGGTCTCTACCTAAACTAGGCAGGGATGTTGCTTCTGAAAGACCTTACCCCTACACTGTATTTGGTTCAAGGATTTTGAAAAAGAAAAGAAAAGAAAAGAAAATGATATGGAAACTATTTTTTCTTGTTTGGTTAGGGAGGAAAAGAGGAAAAAAAAGTGGAAGGGAGAAAACAACTCTCCTATTATGGTGAGGAAAAGGAGAGAAACCATTTTCTTTTCCTTTCCTTTTGAATTCCATGAACCAAACCAAATGCCACAAAACCTTCTATCAAATTACAGGAAACAATTTAGATTATCACTTATGAGACTTGACTCAGTTATGAATCTACTTACAATTTACTTTTTAGAAATGCTTAATTCTGCATTCGTAAATAGAATAAACATTTTTTTAAAAAAAACCACACTAAAAGCTTTGTCAGATGTATATCGAAGAGATCCGACTGGTTGGATCCGTGGCCCATTGACCCACTTGGCCACTTACATGGAACACATCAATGACCGTTTATAAAAACAAGAATATGACCACTCAAAAGATTAAAAGAACATGGCTGACTAACAAAAAAACCTTGCAGGTTTAATATAACCGCCACAATTTGCAGGTTTTATAAAAACATAATAAAAACTTTTTGGGGAAAGAATGTATGGTTGGAACATGAGAATGTGGGACACATGGAAAAGTGAAAGTCAGTGGTTGATATTGAATATTTAAAATATTGAAATAGTAGGAATGAGTTTGAACCACACAAATGTGACATACGAAGACAATGGGACGGACAAGATGGTAAAAAGAACAATAGTGGGACGGATGGTGTAATTCATAGGGAAAAACAATACGCGCAGAAAGGGGAAAGTGCCTACCGTCTTCCAGCCATCAGGATCAACACATGCTACAATCTTTGTGTTGATGCCAGGAAGTGGCCCTGGTTCCCTGGTAATCTTTCCACCACACAGTTTTATTGCTTCTGCTGTTTTATAAACATCATCTGTGCCAATCGCAATCTGTCACAAGAAAAATCATAAGTTTTACCAGTATTGATATTTGATACACAGGCCAGTGGGCAGTGGCAAAACTATTCATTTTTAGTTTCATGGAAGTGTTACCTGTGCATAAGCATTTCCTTTGTCATAAGCAGTAACGCCGTAATTATAAGTTAACTCCATTACTGCATTCTTATCTTCAGGCCCATAGCCCATCATTGCTATTGTATACTGCACAAATGACAACACAAAAAGAGTCAAACAAGACACGAAATAAGTAGATGAACGAAAAGCTATGAAGATAATGAACTCCGCTCCTTTGGATAGAGTGAAATTTGGCGCTTGGCATTGGGGCCTTGCTGAAGACACAAATGAGTTAACTGATAAACATATCAGTTTTATTTATGAATGGAAACCCTCTAGGCCTCTATTCATACTACTCACAAACAAATATTAGGGCCTTAATCAATTACATGGTTTGGAACATACTTAAACAGAATACTAATACCAATAAGAAACTATTGCTATTCATGATACTAATAAAAGGAAACTAATAATCTAATACTAACAATACTCTATAAAAATATTCATAACATTAACAAACACAGTATAATCCCAGCTCCTGTGATACTGCACACTGTTCCTTCATGATGCCCTAGCCCCTATTCTTAGGTAAACCTGTATCATCTTATATAGGGAAAAACAAAACGCTTCTCTCGCTCTTTGAAGTTAAAACAGATTCCCTCTTTAAGTTAAACAGAAATGTGTTGACTGGCCAACTTTTCGAGTATCGGCTCAAATTTAGCCACAACTGAAATATTCCACGTTGGGGATCTGGGGATTTTGGTTTTGAGTATCAGCACTTTAGATCTTAACTGATCCTAATAAGGATGCCTACCTTTATTCAAACTCCATATTATTAACTACAAATAAAACTTGAGTGTGAAAATAACATACAAAGCATTTGCCAGAAAATGTAAGGCATATGAAACATCCTTGATGAAAATAAAGAATAAACGCAAGGCATTTTAAACAAATTTCTAACTTCCATATGCATAACCTTGACGCTACTAATTTATCAGATCAACATTCAAATGATGAATGACATACCTTGTATTCAGGATTGTCACGTTTGCGGAGAAGTTCCATGCCAAATGCCTAAAAGTTGAATGTGGGACTTTTAGAATGTACAGACAAAATTTTAGAGGTAAAAATAAGTCTACAACTGAGAACATGTTATAATAACGAAAGAACATGAACCAATAGAGCATTATGAAATTTTAAGTTAAATATACCTTCTCGTAAAACTTTATGGCACGGTCGAGATCTCCAACTCGAAGCATTACTTGACACATCGGCTCGGGAGTAGGGCCCCTCTCCAAAAGCTCAAACATGTAACCATCAGGGTCCTCAATAAAAGCAATTACTGTGCTTCCACCTTTGACTGGCCCAGGATCCCTGGTTACCTTTCCACCTTTAGCCTTTATGAGATCCACCGTCTTTGCAACCTACTCAAGCCAATAATCAGTTGATAAATCTATTGAGATTTCAGATCAAAGTAAATCTTGATTATATAAGAAGTTAAATATATGCAATCAGAATAAAATGAATGAACGGTGATGGAAGAGGTAAAATCTACAGCTTTATAAGAAAAAACAATCTCAAAGGTGCAGAAATGATATTGAATCACATCATGATTATTGTAGGTCAGACTGAATTTTAATGTAGAAAATAATGAAAATGCATACTTACATCCTCAACGGCAATCCCAAAATGGCCAAAACCAGATCCAATATCATACTTGTCAACCCCATAATCTGACAGAATCATTTATGTTCAAAAGAAGGTAATGAACCACAAATGTCATCGAAGAAATGAAGCAATTTAAAATTCAAGCTTCTGGTGTGAATACTGCTTACTGTAAGTGAGCTCAATAACAAAATGAGAATCTTCTGGTCCATATCCAAGGAAGGCATTTGTATATCTTTCGTCAGGATTGTCACGTTTCCTCAGAAGTTTCATCCCTAGGCACTCGGTATAGAACCTGAAGTTCCATTAGAAAGTCACAACTCAAAAGATCCTCAAGCCAAGTATCAGTGTATCACATGTATGTTGAGAAAAGAAAAGCAAAATAGTGGTGCAGATCATGCATACTTTATTGTCCTGTCTAAGTCTCCAACCCTGTAAACAACGTGAAGCAGTCTTCTTTTGTCTTGTTTAACCCACTCTAAGACATTCTCATGGGCAGCAGCAGTGCTTGCATGTGCCATATTTCCAGCTGCACTCAATGACATGCTGCCTCCCTTTTCTCGAAGCAGGTTATTACTAGCTTTAAAGCCAAAAGATTGCAACTGTGGAATGGCTAGAGAATAACCAATACTACAGCATAAATCAAAACCATTTAACACACCAAAAAAATTCTAAAATCTAAGCATGCATGTCAATGAGATGAAGTTTAAAGCCCCAAATTTGATGCTTCAGAAGTATTATTTTACCCGTCGCAAAAAATAACAGAATAAAGAGCCAAGGCTTGGAGCAACTCTACCATGATAAAAAGTAGAGTCACCAAAATCAAGAAATGAGAAACCTGCAGTATACAGATCCCAAGTAATTGGTTGGAATCTCCATTCTTCACATTCCAGGTGAAGGGACATAAAAGTATAGCTTAAGGGCCTGTTTGGTTGGGTGGGAAGGGAGGGGAGGGGCACCCTCCCCTTGTTTGGTAGAAAAATCGGAGGGGTGGGAACCTAAGATTTTAACTCTAAATTCTTCCACTCCCCTCCAATTCCCATCCACCCACCGGAAGGATTGTATCTTCCTTCGTCCAAAGCAAGCCTTTTTTGTTCCTTTATCTTCCGTTTTTCATTCGATTGAAAATGTTGCTTTGGACATACGATTGAAATAGAATAGGTGCCACAGTGAATGGTTTTTCATTTGATTGAAAGTCTGTGTTTCCATTTTTCATTTGATTATTGCAAGGTGTATCATTAATTTATTTATGATTGAAATTGTTGCTTCTTGAATCGGATATGTCTCATTTTCAAGTTTGGCCATTACTGTCTCTGAACGCAGAGAGCACCAGTAACGGTCCATCTCCTTGCCGCCAGCGCAGAACACGGAGTCTACAGCTCCTATGGAATAAGAAGTGCTACACTCCCCTACCCTTCCCCAGGCAAACAAGGTGAAGGAAAACCTTCTCATTCGTTCCTATTCCCTCCCATCCTTCCCCTCCCCTCCTCCCCTCCAACCAAACATCCCCTAACGGATGCTATGCAATTGCAAAAGGTGGGAATAAGCATCATTCTTCAAGATAGTTATGCAATTGCACTCAAGCTTCAGTGATCAAGAAGTTTCCAGTAGAGAAATAAACTATGTAACCCACTGAATATATATACATAATCAATCAAAGAAAGTGCTTTCTAATGTGTGATGATCTGTGAAACTGTAATATTCAAGCAATAATTTGCAAGAGTTTCGAGGAAGATTTGATCTTTTCAAAAACAAAAATGAATGTAATGGAAAAATGGATACATGTGTGTCCACAAACATTAAAATTGAAACATTTATAAAAAAAAACGATCAATAAATACTCATTACAGGGTGAAAATAATACCATAATAATTAATTCACCTTTATCATGTGCCCAATGGCACACATTAGAAAACCCCCTTTGAAGAAAATAGAACAGAACAATAAAAACGTCAATTTTGATCATGTTTTCATACCCAATTGCGATAAAAATACCTACTTGACACTGAAAACTTAGAGTTTGGGAAACGGGAAATTGTAATTAACATATAGAGAAAGCAATTGCTCAGCAAACTGCAACTGAATTGGGAAAAGAAAGAAAGAATATACCACTGCAAAGATGCAAAGAAGTTGATCTCCGACAAGGATTGCGAGAGAAGAGAGAGATGCCAAAGCGGGTGCTGCCGGAGAACCTGAGCGACGAAAGCGACGGCCGTATGGACGACGCCATAGGTATCAGCCTCACCATCGCCTTTTAATCTCTCTATTAATTACAGAGAGTGACTCAGAATTGACGATTATTCTTCGTCACTGGAAGAACCAAACCGGCATGAGCAGAGCCAGAGCGAGGGAGTGAAGAAGAAGAAGAAAGCTCAAGAGATTCGGTAATTGCGATATTGGGCGATCCCATATCTGCAAAGGCCCACATATTAAACGGTCCAATAGATCATGCACATTTTAATGTTATATGGACTATGAGGTGTTCAAGAGATATTTAAATAAGGATTCATTTCCAAATGAGGTTGAAAATAAATTACTCCGTATTTTCTTAAGTTTTCTTTTTTGGTGTTAGACTAGACGTCTCAGAATTATATATTTCTGAGACTAGATGTCTCAGAAATTTAAATAAGGATTCATTTCCAAATGAGGTTGAAAATAAATTATTTCCTTAAGTTTTCTTACATGGTCCCAAGGTTTACATTTAAAATGTGGATCTTCTCATATTTTTCATAGACTTTCATGTGAATTTTTTTAAAAGATCACTTCTTTTATACTACAAATGCACTAAAGTCTATATAATGACTATAAACCTTAGGTCCACGGAAAAATTTTTCTTCTGAGTTTGGCTCATTTTCAAAAAGGTAACCAAAATTAAAGAGAGAAAAATTCTAGGAGGGACACAGAGACAACGGCGGTGGTCGCAGGGCCGATCATGAGGACCGGGCCAAGCAGCCGCCCAGGTCAACGAGTGTCATACAGATCACTTTAGTCTTTTTACTCAGTGTTGTATAATGTATTTTTTTGTTTGTATTGAAAATATTAATGTTTCAATAGTTCGTGTAAGGGTTTCTTTTGGTGTCCCAAGCCTAAGAAATTTTGAGTACGGACCTCGCATTGGGATATGAAGAGACAATTGTAAAATAAAAGAGACCGAAATGGTGGATGAACCGTCNATATATATATATATATATATATATATATATATATATATATATATATATATATATATAGGGGCTGGTTCCTGTGAGAATGCACATTGTGGAGAGAAATGAGAATGAAATCTAGGCGTTGGATCTGATGCATCGTGCGGCTCAGATTGCATCCTGCGCTCAGATTTTGAGATAGTGCATTTTCGAAGGATTATGATGCATTTCGACGTGATGCATTTTCGAACCATTTTGTTGCACATAATTTTGATGCAATCCTGATCCTTAGATCGCACAATCTAAAGCACCAGATTCATTCTCATTTCTCTCCTAAGATCGCATTCTCACCAGAACCAATATATATATATATATATATATATATATATATATATATTTATATATATATATATATATATATATATATATATATATATATATATATATATATATATATATATAGGGGCCGGTTCAGGTGAGAATGCACCTTGGTGAATGAAATAAGAATAAAATCTAGCCTCTTTGGATCTGATGCATCATGCGGCTCAGATTGCATCCTGCACTCAGATTTTGAGATAGTGCATTTTCAAGTGATTTTGGTGCATTTCGACATGATGCATTTTCAAACCATTTTGGTGCACCTAATTTTGATGCAATTCTGACCCTTAGATCTCACAATCTAAAACACCAGATTCATTCTTATTTCTTTCACAAGATCACATTCTCATCTGAACCAAAATATATATATATATATATATATATATATATATATATATATATGACGGGGGCACCTTTAAAATAAAGAGTAGGGCGAGGGTTCAAGGGCAGCGGGCCGAATTTTTTAAAGGCAATTAAAATGTCGAAAAGGAAATGAATTTTATATCAAATAAGTATTCGAATAAGTAAAAACAATCAAAAGTAAAAAAATATAATATGAAATATATCAACAACAACAACAACAACCCCCGAACTTTATTCGCCAATTAAAATATACTCCCTTCGTTCCAATTTGGATTGCATGTGAAGTTTATGATATTGGACTGAAATTAATTTTCAATACATTTTATCTGATAATTAAAGTGAAAAATAAACAAAATAATATTTATATATTATTTAACTCAATCACAAAGTATAAAAATGTAACATTCTCATATTCGCACAGTAAAAATGCATCACGAAGCTTTAAAAATGTAACATTATTCTCATATCCGCACAGTAAGACTATTCTCATATCTGCTATCAAAATCTAATTTACCTCCTTTTGACCGGCCGTATGAGGGGCAAGAAGTACTCCGTATTACATAGTATGAAACATGTATGTGTTGATTCAATTCAAAATGTGGGAGACAAAAGAATCCCACATCAGATGGTGGAGTGGAGGGCGGAGAGAGGGAGAGGGAGAGGGAAGCTCCATCTTATGTCCTCTTATGTGCGGAGTGGAGGGCGGAGGGGGCACACCCCATGAGATGTCTTTTGTCCTCTTATGTGCATTGGGTATATACATTGACAAAAAAGAATTTGATTCTAGAATCCAATAATGGTCCATACCAGATACACGGGCTACATTTCTTGAATCCAGAATTTGGGTAGTAGAGATTATTTCGTATCTGATTCAATTTTTTAAATGGTTCGAAACATTTCGGGTACAAGTTTATCAATCCTTGTCCCTTAATATTCGGAATGCCGATAAAATGGAGCTAGTTCAAAATTAACTTGGGGTTGCAATTGAAGGAGTGAAGGGGCGTGTTCGGGTCGGAGTGGGATGAAAAAGCAGAGTAGGAACCGCCAATTTTATATATGGGGCATCGGAACACTCCTGAATTATCTCATCACATTGATTCTCAATATCATCGGAACATGGAATGGAATGAAAGTAAAAGTAATTTAGAGTCAGAAAAAGAGGAACCAGAATTGTTGAACGGTTGTACTTGTGAGTACCCGACACACCCTTGTCAACTTGAGCTGTGACTGCATATAGTACATACATTTTCCTGATTAACGAACTTCTGCTCCCCTGAAGCTTCTTCACTCAGCCCGCTCTACTTTTTTTCTCCGATCGCACCCTACGCTCCTTGCTCACCGGAATCCTTCACTTTGTCTCCGGTCATTCTCCGACCGCACTCCTACCGCCAACTAGCAACTTCCTCCGTTCATTCACTCCGCTTTCTTCTCCAGGCTCTGTGAATCCGGTCTGCTTCTTCATCTCCATTTCCATTTTACACAGAAACAATTGTAAATTAGTGTGTTTGGGTCGTGATTCATACGGTTGTATATATAGAATATTTTGCTGTTTCAGCTGATTTGGAATTTGAGTAGTTGCCTTGAGCAAGATATTTCGAAGTCGGATTAGGTATGACTCGTTTCTGTTTTGGCATGGGGGCTGATTGGGGATGCATAATTTGAATGCTTGGTGTTCTGGGTTTGGCTAAATTCGGCGTTTGCTTTAATGGGTTGTGTTTATTCTAAGGCCTGCATTGGGCAGATATGCGTTCCGAGGGATTTGGAATTAAGGGACACTGGAAATGTGAAGGTAGCATCTGAGAACCCTGTGTTTTCGCCTACTTCCTCAGATGTGGAGGATGGGGACATCAGGGAACAGTTAAACTTAAACCATCTGAGTATGAGCAGGGACCATGAGATTGGTATAGCCAGGTCATCTCGGGCTTCTTTGCAACATTTTCCTCCGGATGGGGGCTCGCATAGTGCCAGAGTTCAATCGGGGAACTATGAGTTGAGGTACTCGTATCTGTCTCAGAGAGGGTACTATCCTGATGCCCTTGATAAGGCCAATCAGGACAGCTTTTGCATCCACACCCCTCTTGGGATGAACCCGGACGACCATTTCTTTGGGGTTTTTGACGGGCACGGAGAATTCGGAGCCCAATGTTCACAGTTTGTGAGGAGGAAGCTTTGCGAAAATCTGGTTCGGAACAACAAATATCATGTGGATGTTGCTCAGGCTCTCCAGGATGCGTTCTTGACCACTAACTCGCAGTTGCACGATGATGCTTTGGATGATAGCATGAGTGGGACCACTGCAATCACTATAATGGTACGGGGGAAAACGATATTTGTTGCCAATTCAGGAGATTCAAGAGCCGTCATAGCTGAGAAAAGGGGAAGTGAGGTTGTGGCAGTTGACCTGTCGATTGATCAGACTCCATTTCGTCATGATGAACTTGAAAGGGTCAAGGGTTGTGGGGCAAGGGTCCTCACCATGGACCAGATTGAAGGACTAAAGAACCCAGATGAGCAATGCTGGGATACAGAAGAAGGCGATGATGGTGACCCTCCAAGACTGTGGGTACAAAATGGGATGTATCCCGGCACGGCCTTTACGAGAAGTATTGGAGATTCTATCGCTGAGACTATCGGCGTTATTCCCAACCCTGAAATTACAGTTTTGGAGCTTACACAAAATCATCCCTTCTTTGTGATTGCTAGTGATGGTGTATTTGAGTTTCTATCAAGCCAGAATGTTGTGGATATGGTAATTCTATTTCTTTTTCTCCTTGTAACTTTCTTGCTGTTTTACGCATATTTTTACGGATCAAAACAGAGATGTGCTTTAAATGGTAACGTTTTGCTCTTTTACTGTGTTACCGTATTTAGTAACGCAAGTGTTAACAACATTACCTATTGTAAGATGTTGCATTTCGGACATGTCTATTCCACTAACATCTTAAATCATCATGGCGGATTTATTTTCTATATATTCATTAGTTCCTTTGTTCTAAGGACTGAGGGTGTGAAATTGTGAGCTGGGAAGTTGCAAACTAGAGGATTAATTTCCCAAATGAAGCAAATACACAATTTTTTGAGACATTTTCTATTGACCTGTCATGTATAGAAGTAGGAAAAAGAGAATGCATTTATAATATTTCAGATAACATTCTCTCTTTTCATAGAAGCCTGTTCTGCGTACTCTGAAGTTCGAACTCCAAACTAACCCGACAAAGTTGAAGGCTACCTGCGAAACTTAATTTTTATCCCTGCTCATCTGCCAAAGTGTCTAGCAAGTCGACAACCTTTCAGAATTCACTTGCTGTATATATGCCAATAAAAAGTAAGTACCCGTGCGTTATAAAACCATCTGTGAATTGACCACACAAGAATACAATGTCATGGTTGCATTCTGTACAAAGGTGGGTCTTTTGTTGTTGAGAATAAAAAGCATTAATGTAAGGAGATGCAAATCCTAATGTTTTGAGAAGATTAAATGTCATTTTATGTCTCTTTCATAATTAGTGAGTTACTCTTGTAGCAAATAGAATGCAAGGACTGCGAAGCATTAAAGCCAGCATTCTAAACATTTCTAACCTCTGACTGACATTATGGATGGAAAAATATGAATACTTGTTTATTCAACTGGCTCAACTAGTTAGGTGTTAACTCAAGCTGATTACAACATCAAGTCATCAACAAGCTCAACTAGTTAGGTGTTAACTCTCAAATGACTACTACTTAGGCCCAAAAGTCTACCCAACTATTCTAGTTTTAGATATCTAGACGTTTTTATCTTAGGTCATATTCTCCGAGAGGTCCAAAATTCTTAAATCCTCTCTAATCACCTCCTTCCAACTCTTTCTTGGTCTACCCCTACCCCTACTCCCGCCCACCACCGAAAGTCTCTAGCATTTCCGCACTAGGCCTCAACACCTCCCTCCGCATCCCGTGCCCTAACTACCTTGGACTAGTTTCTCGTAGCTTATCCTCCAAAAGTACCACTCCCACACCCAAATAAACTCGTTCTGAATCCTATCCAACTTCGTATGCCCATACACCTACCACAACATCCTCATCGCCGCCAAACAAAGTTGACTAACATGGGTTTTCTTCACACCCCAGCACACCACACCGTAAAGCAAAGCCGGTTTGACCAGACTTAAGCTGATTATAGTGCATTGCTTTTGTGCTAATCGATTTGGCATGAATGCTACTCCCTCCATCCCACAAAAGCTTTCCACTTTGAAAAAAGTGTAATTTAAGAAATGTGTAATTTTGGTGTTGTTTCCAAATTTTCTCTTAGTTTGTTGTAGGGTAAGACATGATGTGATAGGTAGACTAATAGTGAATAGATATGATGTGATAGCTAGGTTAATAATTAGTAGGGGTAAAGGGGAGATTTTAATTGAAATTGGAAGTGTTTTTCGGGACGGAGGAAAAGTAAAAGTGGAGAGGTTTTTTTGGGATGGAGGGAGTATATATTTAGAAACCAACCAGTGCTCGAAAGGTTGCTTCGATATGGTTTTTACAGAGTAAAACCGTGGGGATATTGAATAGTGTATAAGAAGTGAAGAAGTATGTGAGGGAAGATAAAAAAAGTAAAGGCATTTATGGCATTTGATAAGATCATCTTTTCCAAAAAAGACAAGTGAAACAAGTAAAAACTTTCTTAAAAGAGATTGGAGCAACCTTTCATTTACAAGAGGGAGTACATTAGAAGTGTATTTAAATTAAGCCAAATTTGCTGAATAGCTTTCATGGTATTAAGGGAAAAAAATAGTTGGGTGAATGTTGAGTGGCTTCTACAAGAAATGTTCATTTTGTTAATTTTCTTGTTCTCATCACTATTCTGTATGTGGAAAACAGGATATTTCTAGTTTCAAGATTACTTATATTTCTCTATACTGCCATGAGGAAATTTGTCCAAACCTCCGGCATATTTTAGATTTTAATTTTAAATTTTTAACTCGCAATCACTTTCAATGCCTACGATGCACAATGAATTCATTTTTCATTTAACACCTTTTCTATACATTTGCTACCTCAAGCAACCTGCCACACTAATTCTGAGAGGCTGTTTCAATTTATCCCTTCTTTATAGGAGAAGTGTTATGAAACTTGTCTCACAAGGCATTGTTATTCTGTTTGCTAATGACTAACATAACAAAACTTTTTGTTTTGCTAATGGGGCAAATTTTCTTCTTCGTAATGGTAGTTTGACATGCTTCCTCTTTTGTGTATATTGAGAACCAAGGGAGGATTTTTGCTTGTAATTTTTATTCTTTAAATTCATGGCCCGAAGATTTATTTCCCTAATTTTCTGAGTGAGAAATATCAGGTCTCGAAGTATAAGGATCCCCAGGATGCTTGTGCAGCCATAGTCGCTGAATCATATCACCTCTGGTTACAGTATGAAACTCGCACCGATGACATTACTGTGATAGTTGTCCATTTAATTGGATTAAATAATGTAAGTTGGTTTCTACTCCTTGCTCTTGTAAGTCCTTTCTAAACTAGTTTCTTTGACTGAAAACATTGCCTTAATGCTATGTCAGACTGCGGGTGTTCAATCAAAAATTTATGAAGCAGCCGGAAGATTCCCTTTGCCTCAGGATGCTGAAACATCAGGATCAGAATCTCCAACTGTCGTGAGCTGGAAATCAAGGAATCAAAGAGAAAGAAAAGATGCATCGCATGCATCGTTCCATGCTCTTGAGAACTCTCTTGAGAATCCGCAGATCTGGATGCCTCCTTCTCCACGCCACAGGAAGACCTGGGAAGAAGAAGTAAACAATTCAAACACTTACTAAAATTGTTTTTTTCTAAACTACTTTGATAGTGAGCAGATACTCTTCTAGCAGCCATTGTATTCATAGGATCTATATTGCAGGCACACATTGAGCAGGTGTTGCATGATCATTTTCTGTTTAGAAAACTGACCAATTCTCAGCACCATCTTTTACTGGACCGTATGAAAAGGGTGGAGGTTCAAGCAGGAGACATTGTAGTGAATCAGGTAAAATGCTTTCCACTTTTCTTTTTCATATTGAGAGGGTGTTGCTGATAGGATATATGAACTACTTGCCAATGACTTGCATTTCATGTTGATGTTTGCATTTAAAGAGTTCTAGCGACCAAGTGTACTAAATATCATTATACGCAGGGTCAATAATGTGATTCTTTTCATGTTGTTGTTATGATAGGATTCTTTTTATGTTGTTGGAAGTGGTGAATTCGAGGTCCTTGCTGCAGAGGTGATTATCCATTTTTGACATTCCTAGTGTCATTTCAATAACAGCAATCTAAATCAAGCACATCATCGTATCTGCACAGTAATCAAACGTCATAAATAGGTTGTCATCATCTTGGTTAAAATTTACTGCTAACACGAAGATATCTATTTTAGAAGGAGAAACCTGGAGAAGTCCCAAGGGTTCCGCAGAAATACACTGCTGAGAAGCTGTCATCCTTTGGAGAGCTGGCCCTGATGTAAGATATCTGATGTTGCTTCTCACCCTTTAACTTTCTCCGTTGTTTAATGAGTTACATTGCAAAAAAAAAAAGGCTAGATTTCTGTCCTGAATTCTTCCCTACAAAGTATGGAGTAATTCTTCTCTAAAACAGCGACAATAGTTTGAAATTTATGGTAAATGTCGTTTATCTTGTTCTCTTGTAATGAGTGCAAGCTTTGTTTATTAAATTTTTACTGGAGTATATCAGTTAGACATATTAGTTGAAAATGAATGATATTCATACTTGGTGTGTAATTTTTTGCTTTGGTTAAATTAAATCACAGGCACTACACACCTGTGCAAGCTTCTGTTCGTGCGGTCACCAGTGGAACTCTCTGGGCACTTACAAGAGAGGATTTTCGAGGAATCCTTACATCAGAAATTTCTTATTTGTCATCATTGAAACTGCTTCGCTCTGTAGATCTTCTTTCAAGATTGTCAATCCTACAGCTAAACCATATAGCAGATTGTCTTGCAGAAATTACATTCTCTGACGGGCAAGCTATCGTAAATAAGGTATATTCATCACTCGCATCTTCCAAATGCAAAATCTTGTTTATGCAATCCTCTCCATTCATATTTCAGGGCGAAGAGCTTCTTGGCCTGTACATCATCCAGAAAGGGAAAGTGAAAATTACATTTGACATGGACACTGTCAAAAGCAAAAACGCGTCAAGTCTTATTTGTGGAAACAAGAACCAAGATTTTCTTCCGAACAACAAGGGCATGTCACTGCAAAAGACTGAAGGAAGCTATTTCGGAGAGTGGACGCTTCTTGGTGAGCATGTTGGCTCCTTAAGTGTCATTGCTGTGGGCAATGTCGTGTGCTCGATCTTAACAAAGGAAAAGTTTGATACAGTCAAGGGACCTTTGACCAAATTTTCGCAGGATGATGGAAATGTTTGATTCAGCTGTGGACCCATTGATGAATCTTTCACTGGATCATCTGCCCAGTTTGAGGCTTAGCTGTGTGGGCCCCCATGTGTACTCTGCTGGAGGATTTGCTCTCTATTATCTGTGACAATCTGGACAGTTTGAGCCATCATAAATTGCACCCCTATCCTTGGCACCTCGGCGGTCTTACCAGATGAACTAACCAATTATATAGATAGGAAAATTTAAACATCGCAATGCTGAAATGGATTAGGAAAGGATGTTATCTCTGGGTGCAATATCGACCAGGTCTCAAAAAATGTGTCGCATATCACCAAGGTACAAAATTTTTGTATTTTGGTAAGATATGGGTATTATCTCTTGATGCAGTTTATATCTTTACTACATGTTTATACTTTCTATCATCTATAATGAACTATGGTATAATGGTTTCAGGAGTAAAAAAATTTGTTTGTGTGGATGGTGGGCTTCAAGGACATGATCTACTTCATGCTACAAGGTGAAAGAAGTGGCATTTGTGGTTGGATTTGGAGAGAGTTTCAACTAACTTTTGCTGGAATTGCAAGACAGTTAAGTTAGCACATCCAGAAACATGTAGACAAAAAACAAATGCAAGACAGAGATTTGAGTATAACTCACCTCTACCATTGTCATAAACTCACCCTTCTATATATTATAACATTTATAAGTTTAAAAATTGGTCTTTTTAAGTATAAAAGTATTTATGACTTTAAAGACTAAGTTTTGTATAAATCTTTTATAAACAAGTATTTTAAAGTCCCTCAATTTGACTTTTTGCAGGTCAAGCAGAATTAACTTTTGAAATATAATTAAATAAAAAATTATATGGTATATTAATTAAATATAATAATATGGTACAGTATTATGCTTCAGGTATCTGTTATGGACCCATTTGTCCCAAAGAATATCTTTCTTGCTATATCTTATATAAGCGTCTGGTTGCAAGCATAACTCCACTGTACCAAGTTCTTAATTCCCAAACCCCCATCTCTTTTAAGCTTACATACATCTTCCCAGCCAACTGCAGGACTTCTACAGAAGTCTGCTCTTAGTCCCAAGTACATTTGCTTGAAACTAATATAATTGGTTTGCTTTTAGATTATATTATTTTAATATTAATTTCAAATTATATTCTTTTTCATTTATAGTAACATTTTAAATTTTTCTTTTTTTTTCTTTGTAAATTGTTTTTATCAGGGCACACCATTTTATTTGAACTGTAGCATTTTTGGAGAAAAAGACTAAAGTAGGAGTAAAACATTGAAAATATCTTCAAATATGAGTTCTATGTTTTTATTTCTGAAATAGGAGTTTACATTTATAATGCAAATTATTCATATAGAGTATCACATTACCACAGTGTGAACTTCTGTTTCAAAAATAAAAATATGAAACTCATATTTTAATACTTTCTTTTTATTTTACTTTTATTTAGGGCGATTCCTTCATTTTTTTTGGCCCTATTTTAGGCACTCCAGCCCTCAAGGTGGAACTAATTGCAAAAAATGGAAGTTTACAACTAAAGCCAGGCAGCATTCAAAATTTAATTTGCTTATTAAAGAGTGATTAAATTTCGATTGATATATGGGTGTAATTAAGACCAAGTCGCAAAAGTAAACTCTCATCAAGAATTTGTTTTCCTAACGGTTAGATATAATTATTGCTAAGAAATTGCTCCGTACTTGCTATATCTTTCTCAAGATAGAATTTATATTTTTCTATGACGGATATTACATTGTCATAAAAGGTAATATCATTCAAAAAAAATTATGTTTTTCTCTTTGAAATATTTCAAAAATAAAATTTTTATTGTATTTTTCTTTATGAAACAGCCTCTCTACTTTTGAGTAGGGTTAAGGTCTGCGTACACACACCCTTCCCAGACCCTACTCTTGTGGGATTTAACTGGGTTGTTGTTGTTGTTGTTTATAAAACGCAAGAAAATAACACTGGACAATAATTATATACTCCATATATATCAAACTAGACTCCGCATCTCAAAGACCTTGTAATCTAATGACCCTCTTATGGCTCTCCCAAATGAGAGACGTGTTCGATCCCTAGTGTAGGCAGTAACTCTACAAATCTTAATAGATTGAGATTGTATGTACATATATCATATTGTAAGCAAATTTTATGAGCAAAATTACTACTTAAATAAGTATTTGTTTTTTTAATAAAAAAAGTTTAAAACAAATTTGTGAGACGATCTACAAAATGGTGTGCACCCAAGGTGAATAATAGAAGAACTGTACATTGTAATAAAGTTAACATTATTAAAGTAAATTTCATAATTTGTCTTTTATAATAAGGAGGTTCCCATATTTAGTTTTCTATTATCAAATATTACTCTCGTAGTCCTTTCATTGGTATCTATTCACAAATGGTCCTTTTTTAATCTTCTGTCATGTTGGTGTTAATTTAAAGAATAAATTCCTAAAATGGTCCTTTGTAATAAGGTGTTTTCCCAATTCAATCCTCAATAAATTCTAATTACCGACTTGGTCCTTTATAATTGATGTTTATTTCCAAGACAGTCTTTCGTAGATAATGTCACTCAAATGATGATTAATTGGAAGATATTTTGGCATTTTGATCATCCAAATTTAAAGTATATTCTCAAAACAGTCATTTCTGTACAACTAAATGTAAAATTTAAAAAATATATTGACTATAAATAATTCATGAATTATTTAAAACTTAGAAAAAATCTTTTAAATTTCAAATTAAATACACATCTTTAATTAGAAAAAACATTTTGGGAAAATACTTCATTATAAATGATCATTTTAAGAATTAATTCTAAATTTAACGGATAAAAAATACCCAAATATCCTCAATTAATCTTTATTTGAGTAACATTATTTACGAAAGACTATCTTGGAAATAAATCTTAATTATAGAGGACCACATAGGTAATTAAAACTTATTAAGGACTAATTTGAGAAAACACCTTATTACAAAGGACTATTTTGGAAATTTACTCTAATTTAAATGCTGAAAGTATAATTTGACATCAACCTTATATCCAGTGGCGTATTTTGATATTGGTTAGACGAATAATACAAAATTAATGACTATGGTGATTGTGAGCTAGGATTCTGACGAAAGACCACATCTGTTGACTATGTTGTAGTAGAAAGTGACTGTAAATCACAAATGATGCATCAGGAATAGTCTTTGGAATTGTATATAACAAGAAAGATATATATCATTATAAAATTATACTTTTAGTCTTTAAATTAACACCAACATGATAGAAGATAAAAAAAGACTATTTATAGAAAGGTACTCAAAAAAGATGGATTATCATAGTAATACTTCGTATTTGATAATAGAGATCTAAATAGAGATACGTCTGTTATAAAAAGATGAATTATGGAATTTAATCTTATTATTATTATTAAGAAACTAACTCCACATTTTCATTCTTTTAAGAGACAGCTGCATAAAAAACACGCAACGGTTTTGTCGTGCCGTCGAGGTTCTTCAAACCAAGGCTATTTGTCATGGAGCATTATTTTTATTAGAGTTTTTTGTTCATAAACCACATCTATTATATATATAATCCGTATAAAAGACACAATCAAAGTTGGCCAAATCTATTTTCCCACGAATATTGCTAAGCCAATTAAATTGATTTTATTTTGTTGCCAAAATTATGGTCATGGCAGACATTTAAAGAGATAAGGACTAAAGTAGTAGTAAAATATATGACATACTCTTAAAATAAGAATTAAAACATAAATTCCCCTTAAATAGGAGTAATTAACTTAATTAATCTAATGACTTAGAATTAAGAAACGAAATAGAAGTAAAACATTGATCATGTACCAAAATAAAAGTTATATTCATTTTACAAATATGAAATTAAGTACATTTTATAAATTAAAAAAATTCTAAATTTGCTACAGCTTCTTATCGCACATGTCACTGTCACCACCCTACCGCCATCGCCGCTACTGTCGTCGCCGCTACTGTCGTTTCCGCCACTCCATCGCCACAATCTCCTGCTGCCATTGCCCTCATTTGCTGATGTCAATGTTGCAATTCACTGCCAACATTGAGATCAGGACTGCCATTGTCGCTACCACAGTGCCATGGTGTCATTGCCAAGGGAAAAAGATTCAATACAATGTCAACCAAATCCACAATGTCAAAGACGATAATGCATACAGACAAACATGTCATTGTATAATGCCAAATATGTTATTGCATAATGTCAAACACGTCAATATAAAATGTCAAGATTGCCAACATACAATGTCAAGTTTCTTATCGGTTATCACTATCACCAATTTTTGCTGATATTGAGAGCAAAATTTAAGCACAACTAATAAAAAACAATCAAAAAATTAAAAGAAAAACAATCAATTACAAAAATGAAAAGAAAAAACCAAACCAAAATCAATGCCTAATGAAGATGCAATTTTTCAGAGAAAAAAAGATGAATGCAATTACTTGGAAGTATTTCTTACTTCTACAATGCAGTCTGAATTATAGAGCATTTGGAAGCTAATTAAAAATGAAAATCATAGTCATCGCGACTGGTGGCAATCTCAGGTCTGATAGATATAGGCGGTGCGATAGATCTGTAAGGGAGGAGAGATAGAGGCGGCGCTCCGCAGCCAATCTATAAGGGATGCTTCGTGACAGATCAGCAAAGGGGGAAACTGGTGCAGCGGCACTGCAAGGAGTGGGGCGGCGGTGATGAACTGCACTTGGAGTGGATTTGACGGAGGCAACACATCAAAATAGTGAGGGTGGTGTCCAAAAATGAGAGAAAGGGAAGAGAGAAAGGCATGGTGGGGTGGCCGTGAGGAAAGGGAGCAGAGAGAGATGAGATTAATTAGAGATTTAATACTATTTATGAAGATTTTTATTACTTAATTAATTATTGCTATTTAGAGGAGTTTAAGTTTGAACTCTTATTTTGAGGATATGACACATGTTTTACTCCTATTTAGGGAATTTTCTTTCCAAGTTACTCTCAGGTTACTTGGGCTTAATTGGAATTTTATATATTTCAAATTTTTAATTTAAACTTCACCAATTTTCTTTTTCTCCCAAATTTCCTCTCATTTCTTCTTTAGCACCCCTACTTCATTCTCCCTTTTTTGGAGCAGAATGAGAGAGAAAATGAAAAAAAAAGAAAAAAGAATCATATCAGAATTACAAATTAGAAATGTACGTAGTATAACATTGTAATTAGATCTAAAATGACCTGACAGTAATCTGAAAACCGACTTCGGGTACTTTTGTGAATTTTTTTAAAGTTTAGGTATCTTTTCGAGAAGAAAAAAAAAGTTTAAGTACTAAAATGATATATTGCTAAAAGTTCACTTCATGTGCATTCAATGAAATTTACCCCTATTTGATTTATTTGATCTTACTTTTTTTATTTAATACTACCGATTACCTATCGCATCTCTATCATATGAAATATTTGCACTAAATAGCACTAAAACTTAAGTCATTTCCCTAAATAGTACTTACACTATTTTATTCTCTAAATCACACTTAATAATGTCCATAATGTCTAGTGATGACGAACATTTAATTGAATAATGACTAATGGTTAATGACTAAAAGTGTTACATTGAAAAAAAACACATGTGATGCTATTTAGGGAAAATCATTATGTTTTAGTGCTATTTACGTAAATTTCCCCTATTATATATCTAAACTTTTTACTTTATTCGCTTTCTCTAAATACTCAGGGATAAAAATGAAAATTCAATATATGTTACTTTTCTTAAGTATACGTGGAAATTCAATATGAGAAATAAATTGCAGGACAGTGGGAGTAATTAAAAAGAAATATATGCACTAAATAATACTAAAACTTAAGTCATTTCTCTAAATAGGACTTAAATTATTTTATTCCCTAAATAGCACTTAATAATGTCTAGAATGACAAATAATGACAGTGATGGTGAATATTGACTTGAATAATGACTAATAATGGATAATGGCTAAAAGTGCTACATTGGGAAAAAAATGCATATAATGCTATTTAAAAAAAGTCATTATGTTTTAGTGCTATTTAAGTAAATTCTTCTAAAAATCCTCTGCATTATAATATATGCGGAATAATGTTCGGAATTCCAAAAAGAAAACCATGAATTATTTGCACATCACTTGCTTCCAGGAATCAAGCTATTCACAAAACCAATCTTGAAAGCTCCATTTTTGTCAGATTTCTTTAACAAAGAAGAATGTCCTAAATTCCTAGTAATATTTACTACACCTAGCGTATCAAACTAAAATACTTCCAAAATTTTGATGTGTAGTGACATAAAAAAAAAAAAGAACAATACCAAGATTAAAGAATTTGGGAATTGCAACAATACAACAGTGTAAAGATTTATGCTTTGCTATAATCTAAAGCAAACACATAATAAATGTCTATACATTTATGGACTGTCTTCTTTCTCTGCTGGCAAACCATTCAACTGTTCTTCTGGCAATTGGGAGCCAGGCCTTCCTCCTCCTTTCCTCCTTCACATTTCTATCATCTTCTGCTGACAGATCAGACCCATTGTTGTTTTTCAAGCTGAATCTTGGATGGATTACGATCTCCGACATCGTTTTCGAAACAATTCTTGAATTTGAAGAAGAAGAAGAAGGGCAGGTCTCATGATTATTATTGCTCTTCTTGGCGAAAACCGGATCGGGCTCTGCGATCACCCGCGCAGCAGTGGAGCTGTGGCGATCAATGGAGTTTCTGCCCAGCGATGAGAATCTGCTGCTGGTTGAGTCAAGGATCATCTCCGAGGTTAAGATCATGAGGTCAGAAGAACTCACATTGCTCCACCTGTTCTTGAACACTACCTCTGCAGACACTATGTTGATCCTGTGATTCAGTTTCTTGATCCCAGACTTTCTAATGAACCTCGAAGACCAAGATCTCGAATTCTCCAGCCTGTGAATATGGACTTCAAGATTCGTCGTCTGCTCGTCGTCCCTCGCCGCTTCGGGCTGCTGGTGGCGGTTACTCCACAGAAACCTCAGGCTTCTGGAGTACTGCAGGCTGGCAAGATCGTCCGAGCCGATCTTGTGCCTGCAGAGAGGGCAAGTGGAGTGCTTCTGGAGCCACTGGTCGATGCACCCGACGTGGAAGGCGTGCTTGCACTTCGGGAGCAGTCTGAGGATTTCCGGGTCTTCGAATCTCGAGAGACAGACTGCGCACTCGAGCCCGTCTCTCGAGCCCTTCAGGGATGAGAATTTGAACAGTGGGAGGGATTCCACCACTGTTCTGTCCAGCCCAGAGGACTGGGATCTTGACCGGACCAGTCCTGCCTGGAACTCCAGGAGGCTGCCGTTGTGCACGGAGCCTCCTGCAGCACCAGCACCACCTGCGGGTGCCGTTCCTGCAGGCGGGCCGTGGCAGAACTTGGCGTAGATGAGGAGGAGGAACGTCAGAGAGAACAAAATGGAGAGTATGCCGATGACTATCGCGAGGCTCGGCTCGAAGTTCCGAAGAGCGTCTTGCACGGACGGGTTGCTCTCTTGAGCTCCAACACTGAAGATGAAGATGGAATAAACAAAGAGAACCAAGAACTTCATCATCATCATCACCAAGCTCATGACTTTGCTTTGCTTGGGAAATGAATAGTGAAGTCTTGAGGAATTTCAAGAAACCAAGACTTTTGATCTGAAGTTAAGGAGGAAAGTTTGACATTAGCTGGCTTTGATATGTGTTGAACTACTTTTATACCCTTTAGGATCTTCATGGGCTTTTGTGCTTTTTTTTCATGTCTTACTATGTTATGTACATTTTTTTATAGTATTTATTTTTAGATGGGAGGGAGGGCCAAATAAATTTTGGACCAATATAGCAATGCCAATGCGTGGGGATCATAAATTAATTGTCTAATACATGTGGATGTAACTCTCTACCAATAATAATAGAAATTGTGACTTGGATGTGAAATCATTCACACATCTTTCCAATTTCATTATGTATGGTAGGCCGGTAGGGTATGTACACAACATCATCCATGCACTAATGCATCAAATAATAATACTTTCTAATAAATTGTCAAATTAGTTAAATGATATATTCATCGTGTGAGAATATTTATAAATGGTGAGGGATAGTTTTGAAAATAATTCGATCAAAATGGAGAAACAAAAAACTGGCTTAAAAATAAATAAGTACGACGTACTTATTCTTTTAACTTATAGTCAACCAGCATATTTTTTCCTTGCATGTGGCTCGTTCGCAGTAATTTCTTTTGATTTGTGTGAATTGGTTTACTGAAGAAAAGAAACGGTTAACTTCTCGATCTCAAAGAATTGGGCTAAAGGGACTTTCAGTTGAGGGTAAGCGTGCAGGGCAATTTGGATTGTGTGAAAAAGAAAAGGCTAAAATCCACCATTGGTCCTTCAACTTTATCAGTTGTGCACGATTGGTCCTTCAAGTTTCAAAAGTCCATAAATAGTCCTTCAACTTTATGAGTTCTGCACCATTGGTCCTTCAAGTTTCAAAAGTCCATAAGTAGTCTTTTAGGTACACACCAGCCCTCCATATGAAGTCCTTTTGACAGTAAATATTAAAAGTTAAACGAAATACTAGTTTCACATAATACGAGTAAATTCCACCAGGTACGACTACTCCGTATTATATGGAGCTAGTATTCCATTTAGCTTTTGACATTTATTGTCAAAAGGAACTCATCTGGAGGGCTGACATATACTTGAAGGACTATTTATGTACTTTAAAAACTTGAAAGACCAAATGTGCATAACTCATAAAGTTGAAGGACTATTTATGGACTTTTAAAACTTAAAGGACCAATCGTGCGCAATTGATAAAGTTGAAGGACCAATGGTGGAGTTTAGCCAAAAGAAAACGAACAAATACTTGGGGATGAAGTATTTCGAGTTAATTTATTTGATAATTGTATAGACCAAGTCACATCATATGGAAATAAGTGCTAATAAAGTTTTTAAATACAATATTTATTGCATTCCATTAAATTATGTTTCAATTTAAATTTTTTATTTGTTTATCAACGGAGTTTAAGAAAAATTGGATTTATATGATTGAGATGGACGAACTTTACATATAGAAGCAAATGAGTATCAAAATATCAAAATATGAGTATTAGTCTTTTAGAACTTAAATAGGAGTTTACACTACTATTGTCAGCTGCCACCCCACTATAATCTACTTAGGACTGTCCCCGAAGAATCAGAAGCCCAACATGATATGAAGAAAATTGATGAATTCTTGTGTCATAATGAAGTAAAATTTATCAAATAATTTTTTAACAATAATTAACATATACTCCGTATTATACTCCCTCCGTCCAGTAGCGAATCCAGAAAATGAAGAGACTGGGGCGAGACTTCTACGGGGTTTGGGTAGCACCCCCAATTTTTTCCAAAAAAAATGTGCAAAAAAAAAATGCAAGTATTATACTACTCCCTCCGTCTCTAAATAGATTATAATTTTTTCTCTTTCCTCTCGATAACTTTTGTTTGTTTACACGATTTCACCAAGTATTTGATAAAATAAAATATTCTTGTCACCTCTTGTTTTGTCGAACTTTTGACGTAGTTATTTAATATGTAATTTTTATATCTTATTGATATACCAATTTGTAAATAAAATGATTTCAAAAAGTAAAAAATTTTACTCCGTAACCCGCAATTTGTAATCAAATTGGAGACGGAGGGAGTATTATTAATGATAAAAATAGAAATCATATTAAAAATTATACATTAAAAAGTTGCTAAAAACCATGGAGTACACACTACTCAGTGGTTTTTACTTTTGAACACAATTGATTCTTAAAATTTGACAAATTGAAAACTTGGATCTAAAAGTCCTAATCAAACTTTCAAAAAGAGAAGGAAAGCCTCTTACTCAACTACGTAGTAGTTAACTCTCAATTTGTGGTCCGTGGACTGTGGATTACGATTCTGGACTGAAATTACTTCGTATAAGGTTTCTAGTTTTCTAGTTGGGGGCAAGTATATCTTTTATTGGGGGCAATATTAGATTTTTTTAAAAAAAAAATTAGGGGTAATAATTAAAAAAAATTCAAAGTTGACTGGAGGCACATGCCCCCATTGCCAAAACACTACATCCGCCTCTGCCTCCGTCCCAGAGTATTTGTCCACTTTCATTTTTACACACTATCCAATACACTTCTTTAATCCATTTTATCTTGTAATTTGTATATTAAAAAATTTTAGAAATTATATATTAATAATCTATACGTTAAGACAAATCAAACAAGATCAGACATGACTATATTTAGGCTTACACATTGAGAGAATTTTATAAGTCAAAGTGTTTAGATGAACATTTTTAAAAGTCAAAAGTGGACAAATATAGCGGGACGGAGGTAATATTAATCATAATAAAGTTTCAAATTTGTGGTATATATATTCAAAAAAAATTGCGCCCCCACCAAAATAGGCCCAGGCCGGATGACCGCCCAGTTGAGATAATACCGACGCAACAATGTCTACTGTCGATGCCATATCGTCGATATTGACGACTATTAACTAGCAGTTGACCGGCGGGCCACCGGCGATTGATTGGTAAACCTTTTCATTTTTGTTTTTTTCGTACAATCACCACACTTCTATACCACACTGTTGGAAAATTAAGATATGTCGTTCATTCTTATTTTGACATTTTCGTTAAGTTTTATTTTTATTGAAAAAGATTCTTTTATTGAGATGAAAATTAGATTTTTTATTGTGAAATTTGGGACATAAAGAATATAGTGTCAAACTTTTTAGATCTAATTCTCTTAGGATGTTCTCTTAGAACTACAAATTTTACTTGTGTAGGTGCTAACTAATTCAATATCTTGAAATGGAAATTTTTCAAATTTACGTATTGTTGCTTTCTTGATATTTTCTCCCTCTTTAAGGAATTTGTTGGCATTGATTAATAATTATCCATTGAATTAGCTCCTATCAGATGATAACTACGAGAAACTGTTCCTATTTCATGGCAGTTAAGAAAAAGACTATAATTTTTTTTAAAAAAAAGGTCAAATGTTGTTGGAACATTAGTTTGGAATTTAAAACTCCAGCAAATGAACAAATCACGAACTTGGGAAAAATGTTATGAGTTGTCGTCATTTAATGGTAGTTCCAGCCCTTCCAGGTTTATAAAAAGACAAGCAGTTCTGTCCATTTATAATTTGGGAAAAGACTATGGTAGAAATAAAACATTAAAAATATATTTAAAAAGGACTTTTATGATTTTATTACCGAAATAAGATTTACAATGTACGGAGTATTTATATTGCTAAATGTGATCATGTACATTACCAAAGAGTTACTAATGTGCACGTGTATAGTGCCACATTACCTCCACATTATCACAGTACGAACTCTTATTTTGGGAATAAAAGCATAAAAGTCTTATTTTGATACTTTTTCTATATTTTAATCTTATTTAGGGTGGTTTCTTTTAAAACATTTTTTTGCATTAATTCTAAACATTTTTAAACTATAGTATATTGCTCTAATTTTAAGAAATGTTAAAGAGTGAAAACTTGCTTTGATTTATCACGAAAAAAAATATTATAAGCTACGGAGTACATACTTTAAATGTTACTTCGTATTTTTTGAAATATATTATCTCAGTTTTATAAAAAAATAAGTTTGATTTATAGAGACTTTAGAAAACTACTTACTCCGCCTCATAAATTTTTTTAATTTTCTCATCTTACATGTCTCATAAAACATTTTAATTTGACTTAAATAGACACTATTGCTCTTACTTTTCTTAAATCTAACCGAGCATACGCCTACTACCTTTTACGTCATACTCATTTTGACATTTCTCGAGCCCTATTCATTTCAATTACTCGTCTTTTCACCTTGGTCAAAGTTTTACAACTCCCAAAAATCAAAACAGAAAATGTTTTACAAGACGGAGAAATTATTAAAATGTGAAACAAGACTAGATGAATTTTCAAGGCCGACCCAAAAATGTGAAAAAAATGATATTGGCCTTGTTTAAAATTCACGTATTGAGCCATATGTTATTTTTTTTCAGACTACGTGTACTTTTTTTAAAACTACATTTAAAAGTTACATCCAAAATTCATTTCGAAAATACAAAAATTAATTCATTTTATTACTCCGTATAATTTATCAAATAATCAATTACTACCTCCGTCCCGTTATATTCGTCCACTTTTGAATTTTGGAACTGTTCATCTAAGCACTTTGACTCATCAAATTCTCTAAATGTGTAAACCTAAATATAGTCATGTGTGATTTTGTTTGATTTGTCTTAACATATAGATTATTAATATATAATTTGTATAATTTTTTAATATACAAATTACAAGATAAAATGAATTAAAGAAGTGTATTGGATAGTATGTAAAAATGAAAGAAGACAAATATTCTGGACGGAGTGAGTAGTATACAAAGAGTATAAAAAAAGAAAGATTCTATTTTATTAGTTGAGTGATGAACGAAATTCATGGAATATTGACATATTGTATAGAACAATATGATGGCCCAAAATATCTCAGGATATCGCTCCCACGGCCCAAACATACCCATCCACAATGAGTGATTTTGTTTTACTTTTCAACATATTTTCGAAAATGATTCAATATGTTCCAAATTAAAAAAAACATAAAACTTACTCGTTCAAATATACTCCGTAATTGTTTACTTGTCGCCAAAGACCTTGTAATTCAGTGGAACCAGCGTGATTCATACAAATGAGAGGTCACGAGTTTGAATTCAGTAACTCTCTCTGCT